TTCTATATTAAAAATCACATAGATCTTCACATAGCGGCCATAAAACATTGTTGACCACTAGTACACCTATTACCAATCAAGATGTTAGTTTACCAAACTATACTCTTTTTAGTGTAACATATACCCACCATTCTATTTTTGGATAACTCATACTTCATAATGTTTTGTATTCTATTTGTCAAATTAAACTATATTAATGGTCAATTTTGTGAATACTTCCTTTTGTATTCCAACTTTCATTAATGAACATTACTTTATTTAAAACCAATGTTAGTAAAGATTATTGGGTTACTATTCAAAGTAATAAATGATGTTGTTCTATTTAAATCACTAACACCTTTAGGTCCCAATATTGAAACAGATGTTTTAGAAAATTTGCTAATAAAAGTTTGAAATCTTTGTCTTTATTTAATAAAATCATACATTTTTATTCTATTAATGATTATTTTAGTTTTCATATTGTTAAACAAACACAAAAATATATATTTTTTAAATTTTATTAAAACGATAATATTTTTTGAATCGACAGATTGACTTCTTCTAGTGGTCATCCGGTCAAACTCCTGACTGATGCTGAAGGCGCCCTGACGGTGTCTCCTCAAAGCTGTCGCACTGCCGTCAAGTCTGTCGTGAGCAGAGTCGACCAGCTCTCGGCATGTTAACATTTAGGGTATGGGTGAAAATTGTGTTCCAATGTTTAATAAGTCTAAATATATTCCTAACATTAGATGATTTTTCATGATGCATATGTGTTTATCTATTGCACAAAAAAAATTAAGGTACATAATTTTCTTATTACTTTCAATATGGTTGAAAGACAATTTACACCTTATTTGAAAAGAAATATTTGACATAACCATTCAAACTCCTGTCACATAAAAGGATATTACATCACATCAAGTGCATTGCTACTCCATAACAAAATAGTGTCTTTGAATACAAATACAATCACATTCTAAATGTATGTTTGCATTGCTTTTTAGTCTAACAATCCAAAATAATTTAGGAAAGGCCAATTATCACATCCACCTACCTAATTAACTAAACCTTAATAATATTTTTTCATGATGTTTATATATTTATTTATTGTGCAAAAAATTTAAGACATAATTTTCTTATAATTTCTTCAGTATGGTTTAGAGAATGTATATCTTGCTTAAAGATAAATGGCGGGCATAACCCCAACTCCTTAAACATAAAAGGATATTACATCAAACCAATTATGTTGCTAATCCATAACAAAATAGAGTTTTTGGACACAAACAATATCACCTTCAAAATATGTTATCATTACTTTTCAAGCAAATATTTCAACATAATTTATGAAAGAGAAATTATCACTTCCACCTACATCATCAACTGCACCCCCACAATAATTTGTAAAGGCAAAACAATATATGAAATGAAGTTCCTTTTTCATAAGAAATATGCATCATGTATATACTTTTTATTTGTTTATATTATTATTATGCAACCTCTCATTATCATAGACCTATTAACTTTTTCACTTAATAAACCTAATATTTATTTCTTTGTTATTCTTATGGAACCACATGATATCATGTCTATGATGTTGACGCCAAGAAAATTGTTAACTTTTGTAATATACTTTTTCATGTGCATATTTTTGTATATCCTACTTTCATTGCCACACAAAAATATACCTTCTTCAAAACCGCCCATTGTTTATGATGATTATTGGACCAATATTAATCCCCATTCATCATAATATTTAGTATCCATGTCACAAATTCAAGATAGAAATATATTTTTTTTTTTTCTCCAGCAGCCACATAATAGATCACCGCTTCATCCTCAACCAGCTCACCAGAATCTCCACCTCCTCTCTTTCTTCTCCCCACACCTCAACATGAAACATCGTTGCAATGCATCTTGCATGCACCAAGCTATCTACAATACTACCATGTCAAAGCATCCTTGTTATATAGGCCCTTTCCCTCATCTCATCATATGTTGGCTAACAATAAATGCTTTTTTTTTTCTCTCAAGTTATTGTTTATTATTAAATTTTATAGGTATATAAAGCTTTTGCTACCTCTATTCGGATTGTAAAAAACACACATGCTTCGCACAAATCATCTAAGATCCTAAATGGAGATATATGAAATGAAAGATTAACTTAATGCTTTCAAACTTAATGGAACTAGGTCTCTTCAACCTCTTCCTTCGAAACAATAAATCCATTAGTTACAAATAAATCCTCCAAATAATGTTTAATCATAATTATCCCATTTTCTTATTGTTTAAAAGGGACAATCCAATTATAAATAAAAAATAAATTAAAGAGATCTAATCTTTAAAATGATAAAAAAAATTAAATAATCAAAATTTTAGATAGAACATTAAGCTGAATGTGGAGTGGAAACAAATTTAATTTTTAGTATAATTAATTTTATTACTTTTTTTATTATTTGCATGAATGAATACTATATTTTAAGGTATTAGCTAGATGTAATCCAATTAGAGTTTCTCTACAAAATCATAAAAATGATAAGGGCCCTCCTAATCTCTAAAGCTATTATCAAAAAGTTAAACAGCTATTGCTCCACATCCCTAAGGCTATTCTCATTGGAAAAAAAAAAAAAATTCACCTTGTGTCCTAGCCTCTTAGGTCAAGACCTATAGGCTAAATCCAAAGGAAGGGGAGCATTAATTATGCTGATAAATATTCTCTTATTTGGAGGGTCTTTAAATGTACTTTCCTATTGGATTAATGTTGGAGAGCCAAATAAATCTATATGAAAAATTTTCTTTTAAGACCTTCCCCATTTTGGAGAAGAAATATTTAAAGGTTGCTTCTACATATAGAACTACGCTCACTTATGTTATCTCTAATTGTAACAATTTGATGCACTTTTAGGACCCTTGATGCAATTGTAAAAATATTATAAGAGAATTTTACTATGACGGATTAGTCTTCCATCCCCTTCCTCCTACCTCTTCGCTTACCTTATATGAAATCTATCTACTACCACGGATACAAACATTACCAATTTATTGATGATATTCTCATTTTGTGGATGGGGCTAATAGTATTGTGTGTGATGAAAGTTTTAATCCTTCATTCAAGGATTTCCTAACTTCATATTATAACAATCTTGGCTCAATGGACTGGCATGCTCTCATTTGACACAAAAGCTATTCTTTAAGATTACCTTTTATTTACTTCATTATGCATGATGGATAGCTTAAAAATGTTGGTTGGCCTTAACTCCTCCAACATTGAGGTTAATATTTGTTGCTACTTTTGCCATAAACATCCAAAAACTAAAATCCACTCGTAGACCTTCACTTTGTCTTACCAAATACTTACTATGGGGCTCTTCCTTTCTTCTTAAGCTTTACATCAATGATTTGCTAGCCTCCTATGATACCATCAAAGAGTGCTATGCCTCTTCCTTTCTTCTTACATTGTATTACTTTTATTAAACAACCTTTCTAGTTCTTTTTTTTCCCCCTTTCATAAAGCCTTGGGCTGAAAAAAAAAAAAAAAGTTTTGACCTTTTATTATCAAGATATTACTAACGTACCCAAGTTGAATACTCATTTCTAGCTGATTTTTTATCTAGTTCTTCTTATATCTATTTTAAAATAAGTATAATATATAAAAAAAATCAAGTCACGATCTATATTATATTATGAAATATTTTATAAACATAGCACTTAGGAAAATTAGTATTTATATATTTAACATCTAAATATCATAACTATTAAAAAAAAATAACTCTCTTGTTAAAATTTCTAAACCTTATCATCAAGCATGCTGGTCCCACCTATTCTTTAATGGGATTTACATATATGCCACATTTTTTTTCATTTTTATATATTTAATATATATACCTTTATAATGAATTATATACCAATTTAATGTCTAATCACACTACAACATATGCATCAAAAGCTTTCTATTATTTTATATAGGGGTTGTGTGAAGAATGCATAGTAAAAGTAATACAATGTAAGATAATTATAGTGCATTTAAAATATTTTTCAGTTTCTTGGATGAGTTCAATACAATGCATGATACTAACTTTTTTGTGTTTGGTTTGAAAGTAAAACTAATTCAGCATAAAACACAATGGTTGTAGTTGCGAGTCAGTCAGCCAGCAACATGCTGACTAGTTGGTGTCGTGGCAAGAATGTAGAAGATGGCTGGCAATGGTGGTGGGTACCAATGTAGTAACAACCAAAAACAATGATGTTCAACAACAAACTACAGGGGACGAAAGGTGGTGGAGATGATGGTGGTGGACGCTAGCAGTGGTGATGGCATTGGTTGTCTGTGGTGGCTCTTACCACACATCCAAAATAATTCAAGAGATACAGCCCCTAAGTCAATATTCATTAGTAAAAATTTTCAAAGCATCATGAGCTAATTTTTGTCCAATTAGAACTTTCGCCTTCAGTATTAATAGTTTACACAGATTATAAAAAGCTAATTCACGGAACTTAATTTGGTCTATTGGTTAGCAGTTTTGGTTAATAATTAAAAAGTTTTGGGTTCGAGTCTTGTATATGTGATGTGCGTGAATTTGTCTTAATTGATTTAAATATCCAAAAAATAAAAATCTAATTCAAATCTTCTGATTGACCTAATTGCCCTGTAACTCGTAAGACCAAATTAAAATATTGAATGGCAAGCATTATTTTCACCGAAGAACACGGGTTTTGAAAATAGGCAAGTTGCCCACTACCAACTGCCACCGCTGCGAACACAGCACATTCTTATTAGCCTCTGCTCTTGCTCAATTAAAGCTTTGATTCATCACCTTCTCATAAAGATGAACTATCAGAAACAATTCCAAAAAATAAAATAAAAAGTCTTCTAAAATCAAATCAAATCAAATTTACATTAAAATATGAAAAATATTACTGTATAAAAGGGGCTCTAATTTCAACATTTAACCTTCACTTCCATTTCATTCAAACAAAAGCATAGAAAATGAACTTTTGGGTAGCTTGGGTTTGGACTCAGCACATGTTCAGACTCCATTGCATAATAACAGAAATGAGAAAACAATTTTTAGAAACATAAAAATGAAATAAACATTCAATAAAAACTCCACTCCTGATCTGATAGGATGATTGAGTTTCAGATGTTGGAATTTGGAAAAAAACACACCGTAGCATAAAACAAGATGGAAACAACAGAAACAGAAAAATGGGTACACCCCAAAATAGTACATGTTCATAAAACAAATTGGCCAAAGAAAGATCAAGATACAGATGCATCTACATTGATGGATAAGAATCAATCACTCAAATGCTTTAAAAGTTTACCAGTAAAATAACGAGAACTAGCTTTTTCTTAAAGAGGCGAGGATCCCGACTTCGAGTAAAGCTCAAGGTCAGCCAAGAGCTTTGCAGCTTTGATTCTCAAATGATCGTTCGTATTCCCACTGCGATAAGCAGATAAGTGTATGAGAGGGATCTTTACATCATCAGTGTAGCTATCTAAAACCTCCCTAACCTTAAACAACATCTCCAGCATCTCAAGCACTTCTTCCTTCAGCGCTGGATTCTCTTCACGCAAAACATCAAGCATTGGCTTTATGGCCTTAAATCGATGCAGACAAATTACGCCTCTAGATCCAATTCCTTCAACTAATGTTTTCAATGCCAGTATTGCCTTTAGTTTTACCGCATCATCACGTTCGTCAAGCAAATTTACCAGCGGCTTAAGAGCATCAGCTTTTAACAAACAGAAACTTGATTCCACAGAACATATACCACCATGAACTTCACAAGTAGGAATTTTCTTCCTAAGGAAACAAAAACATCCTGTGCGATTTGGCTCTTCGGTCAAATTCAGGCTGTTTGAGGACAGGTTACCGATGAGTGCTGCTGCTCTTGCTTTAGCTGTCTTACTTCCAGATATCAGAATGTTCACCAGCAAAGGATAAGCACCTGATTCAACCAACCTTTTCTGCATTTCTATGTCAGCAGGATTCATGAACCCAACGAGCAAATCAAGCACATTTTCCTTTGCTTCCATAGTGCCCCTGTTTAATATGTGCAAAATTAGAGGTATTGCCCCTGATTTAGCTAAGCCTTTGATAAGCTCAATATTGGACTTTTGAAGATTGGTCAACAGTTCTACTGCTAGAAGCTGGAGTTCTGGTTGGCTTTCATCCTCAAGGAAAGGCATTAATGTCTCCAATCTCGTGCCATCCAGGAGGAAGTCTGCAATACGAGAAGATTCGTTCTGAGAGAACTGATGGATAAGTTCAAGTGCTAGTTTCTGAATTTCTTTATCAGAATCCTCGAGCAGGGGAAGAATAATGGAAAGGCCATTTTGGGAGGCAATTGCATTCTCTGCAGCAACTTTTGCTGACTTGCAGAGGCTAAGGAGTGCTCTAAAAGCTGGCTTCCGGATACCAATGGATGTGCTTGGGGTCTCAAAGATGCCTATTAGGTTGGTTATCATCAGCTCTCGCTGAGGGAGTACAATGCCAGTACCATTGAGAAATTCCAAGCCACTGGACGTAAGCTTCTCAAAAATTCCAGAGCATTTTTCTCGGATAATAGGGGAGACTTGTGGCGAGGAAATCTGTTCAAGAATGAGAGAAACTGCTCCTGCTTCTACAGTTAATCTTCTATTCTCAAAAGAAGTGCACAACTTAGCCATAACTGAAAAAGCAAGCTCTCTGGATTTAGCATCTCCTGACGCCAATATTACCAAAGGATTAATCACTCCGTCCTCCCCAAGATGCTTTACATCCTCATCAAGCAATTGCATTTTTTCAAGACCTCTCATCATAGTTTGCTTTGATGACTCTGGACCTACAAGTCAATTTAATTCATGAATCATACCAAAGAGGATTTTGTGTGCCAATCATTAATCAGAGGTAGATACAACAACAACAATAAAAACATTAAGCCTTTATCCCACTACATGGGGTCGGGTATATGAATATTTTTTCTTCATTGTATCAAGTTAAGAGTCAAATTCTCATTTAAATCTAATAAACAAAAATTATTTTTAATATTTTCTAACCATGTCTTTTTAGGTCTACCTCTATCTCTCTGAACATATGTCAAATCTACTACATCTACTCTCTGAGCTGAGTCATCAAAAGGTCATCAAAAGGCCGAAGTTTTATGTGAATAAACCATTTAAGGCGACTATCTCTAATCTTATCTTCCACCAGAGAGCTACTCCAACATTTTCAAGTATATTCTCGTTTCGCATTCTATCTCTAAGAGTAAAGTCACTCATCCACGTGAGCATCCTCATCTCTGCAACACTCAACTTAATTGTATGCTTCTCTTGTAATGGCCAAAATTATATGCCATTGTGCCATAAAGCATTGTAGGTTGCAACACCATCTTATAAAATTTTCCCTTAAGTATGAGTGGTATTTTTCTATCACACAACAGGCCCAATACATTCCTCCACTTCAACCATCCAACTTAAATTCTACTAATAATATCCTCATCTATTTCATCATCACTCTCGATAATAGAACCAAGATATCTAAAACGTGAACTCTTATTAAAAACTTGATCGCCAGAAGTAACAATCACCCTATTAAGTATATTATTATTAAAGTTATACTCAATGTAATCGGTTTTAGATCAACTCAAACAAAAACCTTTAGATTCTAGCATTGACCTCCATAATTCAAGTTTACCTTCAACTCTCTCTCTAGTCTCATGAACAAGAAGAATATTATCAGCAAAGAGTATACACCAGGGTCCATCCTCCTGCAAATGTCTAGTAAGAACATCCATGACTAAAGCAAAATATGTGGTCTTAAACCTGGTCCTTAATGTAATCCAACTGATATATGAAAATACTTGGTCCAACCATCTTGTGTTTGAACACAAGTAACAACTCCTCCATACATATCCTTAATGACTTGAGGATTGAACCCCTTTCTTTTCTCAAACTCCCCATAGCACTTCTCTTGAAATTTTATCATAAGCTTTCTCTAAATCAATAAATATCATATATAGATCCTTCTTATTCTCCCTATACTTCTCCATCAAACCTCTCAATAAATGTATATCTTCCATAGTAGATCTACCCGACATGAATTCAAATTGATTATAAGAAACATTAGTATCACGTCGTAACCTAAGCTTAATAACTCTCTCTAAAGTTTAAATGACATATTAACTTAATTCCTCTATAATTCGCACACTCTTGTGCATCACATTTATTCTTAACAATACGACTCAGCATATTCCTCCACTCATTTAGCATCTTTTTAGTCTTTATAATAATATTAAAAAAATCCATAAGACAAAACATTTCTTCATCTCATAAGCATTTCCAAAGCTCTAATAGAATATCATCTGGTCCAATAATTTTTTCGCACTTTGTTTTCTTTAAAGCATCTCTAACTTGAGCTTCACTAATACATCAAAATAAATAAATAAAAATTGACTGGGTAACAAAAATATTCTACTAGGCTTTCATTACTGATGTCATTTTATTGCATAGCGACATAACAACAATAACAAACTAACTTTAACTTTTTCCTACCTGTTTATGCTCATTGAAAACAATTAAAATATAAGAAGCAAGTTTGATTTTTTAAGGGCCATTGATTTCCTGACAAAGATAGTCAGATACTCCATACTTCTAAAAGCCATATTCATGTCTCATACTCGATAATAAATATTCCACTATATTATTAGATATTACAAGATGTATTCGAATTGAGTTTCAAGCTAAATATATGAACAATGGGTTTATCGAGTCACAAAATATTTTTTTTAAAGATGAACATTCTTTCATTCTAAACACCATCAAGAACTGTCAATATGATCTTTAACAGAAATCCCTATTTATGATGTTACACAAACACAGAAAGAATAAAATTACATTTTCCAAATGTTTATACTAATGAACCATGAATAACAAATCATCATTGTTCTTAGAATATTTCATCATAAAAGTCTTCCATGCCCCAAAACAAAGAAAAATTTGCGAAGGAGTGATAGAATAAATGATGTTGTCCTTTATCATCCAAAGAGAAAAACTGACTTTAAATTTATCCATGCAGCTCACCTTGGTCTGTTGGTTAGGAGCTTTAGTTTCCAACCAAGTAATCTTGAGTTCAAGTCTCGTGTATGTATTATGTGTGTGAGTTTGCCTTAATTGGCCTAAATGTTCCTAAAAACATTTTAAATTTATCCAGGAAATACCAAAAAATAGACCAACAAGTAAAACAAAAAAACTAATAGTTGTTTCCACTCACATGCCCATGATAAAGGCAATGAGCTTGTTTATGAACTAGAAATAAAACTTGATCTTAAATCGAAACTACCGGGAGGACAACTTCCACTTTCAAAGGCGAGAGGGGGAGGAAAGCTATTTCAGTTTCCACAGGCCTTCCATCGAAAGAAACTGGTTAGCAACTTCTTATCTCTTTTCCAACTACCGCTTATATAATTCTATCAAATGGAACCAACACCTATATTTGTCTAAATAATAACAAATCATGAATTTGTATACATGAATATTTTATAGAAAATATAGATAACTACTTAAGCTCTCATGGAAATCTCCCCTCTAGTCAGGCTTCGTTTAATTGAACCTCAAGCCAATGTGGAATCTCTCTTATTTATTTAAAACAAAATAAAAAAGAAAACCTTGCAATAACTTTATCAAAATGGTTATGTAAAATTAGGATTTATAATATGACGTAGTTCAACTCAAACTCTATCAAACATTTGTGGGCTCCAAAAATTTGGCCCCGGCCTCCGCCCGCTTTGATTGCTTTTTTATTCGGGGAAGTTTTAATGCATTGAGTTCCGAGGTAAATTTTAGAAAGACAGATGAGTTTGTAGATAAGACACTACCCTGAGATTTCGCCCTCATTTTGCAAGGACTTTATGATCTGAGTTCTAGTTTCCTATAAGCACAAGACCCTATAGTTAATTACCCCTCTCGATAAAGAGGGAGAACTTTCGATTAAGGCTAGTCATCAATCAGATATGCAAAAATACGTGTTATCTGGCATATAGTAGCAGATGGGAATTCATAATGCTTGGAGAATTGGTATTTAAAATTTAAAATTGCACCAACTTGCACTAAAAGCGGATGGTGGGGGAATGGATGGTAGACCCGATCAAGATCCCATGGTTTCATCGTCCCGGGCCATCATGGTCCCTGGTCTACTTAGTTAGAGGAGGTAGTTGACCCAACCTGACAGAAGGATCCTTGTCGGCAGCCATGGGTTGCTTTGACCAATGGGACCTTATAGACCTGGGATGAATGTTTGTCTAAGGGGACAAATTTAAATCCACCTTAGCTAACAGAGGGCTTTGTGCCCTATCAATTATATCCTATTGATTCATATCTCAAGGATTTGATGCCACTAAGGAGTGTATTTGCTCTGGTCATAACTTGTATTTCATGGAGCCATTTGGCGGCAAAACCACTCGGTTCAGAGGGATCTAGGTTGTAACAATTTATCCTGCGGTGCCATTTGGCAGCAAAATCGCCGGTTAGAGGACACATACCACGTCCTTAATGGAAGGAGATTATTTGAGAATGGATCCTAGTGATATTTTCGACTAGGCATTAACTCTATGTGAGCTGAAGTTATATTCGAATTTGTCCACCTCGACAGACTGTTGCGGATGGTGGATGGATTTTGCTTTAAGTATTGATTGTTTGATTTCAAATTTAAACATCTTTGAATTTTTTTGGAATTTTTGGATTTTTGTGGGTATTTGGATGGAGCTTGAAATGCATTTGAAAGTGTTTATGAACCCCTCCGGTTGAGATAAATATTCAACACGGCCATCATCGGGGTGTTTGAGGGCATTTTCTTTTAAAGCTTGAACCTTGTCGACCCTATCAACTTGCCGATAGGGGATCGGGTTTCGTAGACTTTATACCTTTGTTAGTGAATTCTCATTGTTGAAGGCCTAATATGAATGTATTAAAACAAGTATATCGATTGCTATAATCGTATATTTGTTTGATAGTTCGAACCTTGTCGACTCCTATTGATCCGCATAGAAGGATTGGGTTCGAACTTGAGTTCACTTATCAACCCGTGCAGCATCCCTAAACATCACGTGTGTACCAATAACACGCTCGTCAGGGCCCATGCGGGTGTTTGGGGGCATTTTATAGTTATTTATTGAACCTTGTCAACTCCTATCTACCTGCTTAGGAAGATTGGGTTCAGATTTAGTGACCAGCGCAACATCCCTAGACATTACGTGTGTACTAATAACACGCTCGCCGGGGCCCATGTGGGTTATGATTGTACTTACCCCTTTGTGTACCTATGTGTGTATAAATTACGGTGCATGTGCAGGGGCATGGTGTTGTACTGTAGTTATTTTGCCCATTTTGTACAAGTAGGTTGATGTGCACTACTTGTTGCTTTCTGCAGGTGGATGTAGTGCACCAACAAATCTCCCGCTTTTATGGTTTGTTGATGCTTGTATTCATTGTAGTTGTTTCATATTTTCTTGCAGATGCTATATTATGTGTACAACGAGTTTCCTACAATGACTCATATGAGCATACATTTGTCATATTCTTTATGTATTTTGTTGTGGTCTTTTTAGTATTTGCTTGTGGATAGTATATTGGATGCACGAGGGATCTTATATAGTAGCTCGTAGGAGTTCCTATGCTTGCATCTCTTCATTACATTTGTCATAGCTCTCCCCTCATTGCCTGCCAGTGACATATTGAACACAAAATGGGTCTTCTGCTGGAGACTTGCAAAAGCTTACATTTCGCTGTATATTATCCGACTTTGCTCGTAACAGATCAATATACTTGCTTAACATTGAATATATAGAGG